ATGTATGCTTATACCGAAAATATTAGTCTGGTTTTCAATATGGTAGCATTTAAGATTTAAATTTTGCTGAGGCATCCCTTAAAATTCTATGATTTATTGCTCTTTAAATGTTTGTGGACAGGAGTGCTATTCATACTTGATTTCAGTTCTGTCATAAGATTTCATTGTTGTCGTTTTTATGGTATTGAAACATTTGTAACTGATAGAGGATTGTGCTCATACGTTTTCTCAATAAGTTTCTTGTAGCTGAAGGGATCGCTTCGATAAATGGAGTAGAGATATTAGGTGAATTGATAAGCACAGATACAGGATAAACATGTTGGTTTTATCTAGAAGGATTTAAAAACAATCTGGTTATACCAGTCATGCAGTTCATTTAATAATTTAATTAAAATGTAAAATAGTTTAATCAAGATATAATTGAATAGTCACACAAATTTTGGGTATCAGCTGATAAGCTCACACTAAGTAGAAGTTATATTTATACAAATATCAGGGATTGTTTAAGAGAAATATTATAATCATTTTACCCGGATGTCTAAAGTTTTCAAGGAAATATCTAAAATATACAAAGGAAGTCAAAAACACTTAGTTAATCTCCCTGTCCAACCATTTTTATGTAATCATCGTTTCAGAGTCATGATTACTTGTCATTCAATGTCAAATTAATTGATTGTTATCTTTCATGGAATGTATGAGAAAAAAAGTTACGATAAACACCATGATCTTCATGCAATTATATATATGATGGATAGCATATCAGTCATCATTGTGAGTTTACTTGGGTTAACAAGTTTTACTTGTTTGCCAAATGGTGGGTAGCAGTGGGATTCAGGGAGTACAGTTCACAATGTTTCAGATTCATTAGGTGGGTTCCATCCCCCTCTTCAGTGAGTGATGGTCTTTCAACAGAGACGTGGATACCTCGCCCAGCGCCTTAAACACAATAGCGTTATCCAGTGAACTGCTTAATCATGAAATCCATCTGTTGTGAAACGACTATCATTTATCGTTTATTGATGTCTGAGTTTTCCCGTTGATTACTATACGAGACCCAGTTGCTGCCGATAGACACCTGTCAATTCAATCTAGTTTAGTAATCATCGAGAAATTACAAGCATCAATCATTCAGTTTCCATTTCGGTGTTAGAAAGAGAAAACGGAAACTTTAGTTATTTTAAGCACTTGTGATATTCTGCTTCTTAGGAACAATACAAACCTAAACAATCTATACAAACCTGTCACTTTCATTTATTCTCAATATATACATTGCATGACTTTCTGTAGATATTCAGTCAAGACTTTATATTCAACAGGCTGTTTGCAATTAATATATGTTAAACTGGAGCATTACTGCAGAATATAGTTACATATTAGATTTGTTTATTTGATTTATAACACACAGAGATACAGTATTATCTACTTGATCACTTTTTGAGCATCAAATATTATCGCTAATTATCATATCGATGTGATCACACAACTTTCAACATCTACCTCATATAGTCATGTCACCTCTTATTCTTTGTTTCTATTGGTAATACAAATTTTCCATATCTCTGGCGTAAGTGTAGCGTCATTCCGACTAAATGTGTTGGGTGTAGATTCGATGAATAGCCATTCAGTAATCAATGTCTCCACCTAGTTATGTTGAACTTAAGTATAATGGTTTTATCCCAACCCGTTGTGTGATAGTATGTTAACGGATGCATCACAGTAGCCGAAATTTATTCTAGATCATTCATCTTATTCGGCTCTATCATTCTATATTTAGCTAAACTCCTATCTTCCTCGAATCTAACTGACTCCGATCGACTAGTTTCATCTATAAACTTCACCTGATAGTCATTGTATGGAATTCGATAGATTAGATTATTTTGCTGAATTAGTTCTATCTGACAGTTAAGCCAACTGAAAATATTTATCACTGAGTGAGTTCGTATGTTTAAATGCGACTCTAATTCCAGCCTTATTGAGAATCCTACGTAAAGTTTCCAATGATCCTTCCTTTTATAGTAACACGATGGAGGCTTTGAACTCCTTTCTACTCTTGTTATCGTTATTATTCGTACTCATATTATTTCGTTGCTTACGTGTTCATACGAATGGCTTCATAAAGTGGAAAGTATAATTATTAATTATTAACGCTTCAATGTTTATGTGCTTCAATTCCTTGTTTAAATAGTTGAACTTACTAGTGAGTTTTCTAGCTCTATCATTCAGATATTTGACTAAACACACCTTAAATGACATTGGATAAGATGTCCTAAAGTCTAGATACCTGTTAGAATATGTCGGTTTCCTGTAGACGGTAGTATCCAAACTACCATTTGTCCCTCGTTTTATCCTGCAATCCAACATACATAATTCTCTTTCTCCATTTTTTACCTCGTCACTGAATCGGATTGCGCCTGCTACTCAGTTTATATGTGTGAGGAAATTGTCGATATGTTCCGATTTCAATACAGTAAATATGTCATCATATTACCACCACATCTTAAGTGCAGGATTGAACGTTTGTAAAGCCATGTTTTCCCAACATCCATAAATATATCTGATATGGTTAAGATAGTGGTGATCTCATTGCTTCTACTTCTTTTCGTCTTTATATTTTGTCCTGAAACTTGAAGACTGTCTAGGTCAGACACAATATGATACTAAAAGCAGTCATAAATCAGCTAAATATTGACTCAGAACTTACTCTCAGAACTAAGATATCAGTTGATGAGACCATATTGGGCGTACAGTTCATCGAATCAACACCCAACACATGTAATCTGAATGATCCAATATCTATACCAGAGATATGGAAAATTTTTATTATCAATAGAAATAAAGATAATCACACAGTACAGTTAGTCATATCAAATCTGCCATGAAGTGCCTCACGAAGTGTCAGAATAACCTGTATTCAGTAATACTGTAAGAGATTTGTCTCACATGATTCGTAGGTGATTCGACTGTTGTTCATTGAATCAAATTTTTCCAGACTTTTTCATTAGCATGTGGTAAATCATATTCCTTGTAATTAAAGTTTCTCTAGTTTGTGATTCACGTTTGGTTTTTCAGAAAGCAAAAGAAAGAAGAATCCAGCACAAGAAGATCGAGGAAGTAAAAGAAATCAAGACATACGAAAGGCTGACAAAGCAGAAATCTGTCTGGAAACAAAAGTATCTGTCGACAATGAGAGACCAAAATCATCGGAAACAGTTAAAAGTCAAACGGATGACATACAAATCAAAACAAACTATGAAGCAGATATTGTACTTTTAGAAAAGTTGGATAAGGTATACGAATGCGTTAAATGCAATCGTATTCTACGTGTACCATTTTTGTTTGAAGACTGTGGTCACAGATGCTGTTCTGGTTGTGTACCAGATATATTCAGGTAAATTCTAATCATTAAGATTAGATTTCCATGTAAATAAGTTTCTCTTTCCATTCCATTTATTTTAACAATTTACATAATCTGAAGGAAACAAATTCGAGAAAGACAAAAAAACAAACTAACGGCTTACTGGTAAGGAACGGTAGTGAAGTTTTACAAGGTATTCAAAGTCAGTTACCATCAAATCAACTTCATTAAGAAATATCTATCAAAGGAACACACGTCACGATAATTACGTCAACGTACAAAACGAATAACTTTACCGTATATCTGACCACTCATACTGCGATTAGTCTCTGTCACCTAGAAAATTTCAAGATAGAATTCATCATGAACTGACATCATTTGGAGAACCATTGAAAATCTAGGAACACTGGGCAGCTGTTTTGTCCTAGTATGGGACTCCTCAGCAGTATGCACTCACGACCCGGCTAGGAATCGAACTGAGGACCGTGAGGTTTCACTGTGGATGCGTTAGATATTCAGTCACTAGATCAAAGTTCAATGGTTCACAGTTTCCAACTTCTTTCAATTCACTATACAGCGCGACTATAATCTAAGGTCTTCAGTTGGCATCCACTCCACTTCCGACTGGTTGATCAGGTCATGGCTTCGGGATATCCATTTGCAAGGATTTCACTAGTGAGCACCATAAAGGAAGTTAGTTTGAGGTTCATGCGGATTTATTTATTCATTTCAAGATAGTATTCATCATAAATAAATCCCCATAAGCCTCAAACTAACCTATGAAATTTGTTTTAAAAAATACAAGCAGTCAAGTATTTGCCGTAGAGTTTCTACACATACTGGTTATCGATGTTAGACATGAATCGACTGAGAGTTCCCTTGATCTTGATTTGTACTTGGTAACACTCATTAGGAAATTGTATCTGTAGCCATGAGCAAAGTAACTATTCCTTAATGATACGAGTTTGTGTCATCCACTGACCAAACAATAATTATGATAAATTGGTTGGTTGTGTCTAGCAGAAGAATCCAGGAAGCCCGTTTCTTCCTATTTGGGACTCGTCAGCTGGATGTACCTGCACCCCAGTGATGTTATTCCCACGGGGACTTGAACCTCGTACCCATCGCTTCAAACGCCAAGCGTTATCCACTATGCCACGGAGGAACGATAGCCACTTCTTGTACAAAGGGTAGTAGTTATTACTATTTATTGACATACTTGTCATTCTCAGACGAGTCCCAAATAGGACGAAACGCGCGTCCTGGATTCTTCTGCTAGCCACAACCAACTAATTTATCATAATTAACATTCAGGCAGTATCGAGGCATCCGCATAGGAGCCCATATGCCAGTAGAGGTCGAACAATTCGATTCAACAAAACAACGGAGAATAAAAAGTATGTCAATAAATAGTAACCAACAATAATTATTTTGGCATCATAATTATTCCATTTATAAATGCACATTAAAATGTAAATTCATGGTGAATTTCAGGGTTAAATATTTATAGTATACTTTGTTTCTGATATTCTATTTGTCTATAAAGGTTATTTTTATTTTCAATAGAAATACTTCAAAGTGTCCAGCTGATAAACAACATTTAAAAAAGGATCGTGTTCATCTAGATAAGGCTTTTCAAGAACATATGGATAGATTAGGTGTAAAATGTTCTTATCATAGTCAAGGATGTGTTTGGACAGGAGTTTTAAATGAGTTGGGCAATCATTTGAATCAGTGTGAATACAAAATTCTTCAATGTCCAAGGGAGTGTGGTGTAGAAATTCAGGTTAGTCAATGTAGAGATATATTTTTATTGAAATATTTTTGGTTGTTGATTTACTATAAAAGTAAATCATAAGTGATTTTTTTTCGTAGTATTATACATTTTTCAATTGTTTTTGTGAACACTAACTGTTTGATGTCAGTTGTACTACCTCATATGAATGAAATGGTACATTATTTCAAATACGGAAGTACTATCAGATATTGGTTGTAATGATATCACTGATTGTTAGTTGTTTTTCAAAGTGCATGAACTTCCATTTCGAGTTTAATGATTGAGAACATTCATTTCTTATTTTAGGTTGGTATTTATCATGTACTAACATCACTTGGAAACTTAGGAGCACTGGACAGCTGTTTCTTCCTGGTATGGGACTCGTCAGCACTGCGCACCCATGACCCCACCCTCCAGGGGTCCAGCCTAGGACCTAAAGGTTCTATGGTCAGTACGTTACCAACAAACCACTGAGTTGGAATCCAATGGTCCATATTTCCTATCTCTGTCTGTTCACAATATTGTGTGACCTCCATCCAAGTTTATCGTTGGGTAATTGTCTTCATTTTCAACCTGGTTAGCCCCACTGGTCACTACTTCTTATTGGAACTTTGAGAATCACCTCTCACAACTAGTCACAAATGAGCACTAGATTAATTCAGTCCATAATGAATACCAACATAAAATCAACTAAATCGTCAAAAGTTTCCAAATTGAATTCATCTCTCATGTTGATACACTTTTTAGACTGGGACGACTCTCAAATGACATCCAGTTTGCAAGCAGTGATGAATAGTGGTCTACAACTATGCATATCAGCCATTAGCAAAAATTGTGTGTTTAAACAATTATCATAAAAATTGTCTAGTTTGAGGTTTATGGGGATTTTATTTCGGGATAGTATTCATCATAGACTGACGTCAATTGAACAGCAGTTGAAGAAGTTAGAAACTGTCGAACATTGAACTCCAAATTAGTGGCTGAATGATTAGTGCAGTTATCACGAGAACTGTAGGTCCTGATTTGAGTCCCTGATGAGGTCATGGATATGTACTACTAAGGAGTTCCATCATAGGACGAAATAGCTATCCAGTGGTATAACGTTTAATGGTTCTCCATATGATTTCAGTCGGTGATGAACACTGTATTAAGCTGAAAATTTTCATTGCTTTCATTACCTGTACCAGTTTCATATACCTATCTGTACATGAACAACATCCATCAGTTTTTAATATCAAGTTTCTAATTTGCCTATTGAATTCCAAACTTAAGTGTACCACCTTTCACATTCTTATGATTACTGAATATACACGTTCATATGAACCATTCCAGTTTAATGGTAGCCTAGATGACTAAATATTATTATTTGCTATTGATAGAAAATGTGCGTTTGGATCTTCCCAAAAACTTCGTTCAATGTGAATATCATTATTTCTTTGAAAAGAAACAGCATCCCTAACCGTTCATGGTTCACACTACCTCTCGAAGAGCGAATCAACCACTGACTGCCTAACAGAACATTAAAAATATTACCATAAAATAGTTTTCCTCAAATATAATTTCCTGTGACATTGACTCATTAAAATGCATTTAAATGGTATTGCAAATTTAACTTATATTTCTCTGAAGTTGTATTATCAATAATAAATGCTCGTGACAGTTACACATCAATAAATTTTTCTTTGAGTTATAAACTACTAAATATCCAATAAGTAGTATATGCATACACTTAGCAGAAGTTGAACTATCATTTTTAAAGATCTGATGTTTTTTTTAGGAATGCCGAAGTGTATATAATTGATGCTTGATTAATCTGTGATGAAAATCCTCCTTATTAATGTTCATTAAATATTGTACAAAATGAAGTCTTGCCTGATTCCGAACAGTCAAAGTTAACTAATGCAATCTACAAAATCCGTATTTCTGGCTTACTAAAAACTATGAGGAAGCTTGTGTAACTCAGAGAAACTGGTTACTATTTTGTGCATTAAAATCCACGTTTCACACTTCGGATTTCAAAAGTATCACTAGTGAGTTATCCAGATAGAAGATAACCACTTGTAAAGCTGAATTAAACAGATATCAGTAAAATTTTGATGGACAAATTAGACCAGATATAAAGATTGAACATGGTAATGCTTACCCTTCAACAGTCGATTTGTGTAATCATATGTGTGTTATGCGAAGGCAAATGCATGAATTCCTTAGGATAAAAAGAGTATTTTGGTTTAATCTCATGAACAACGATGATACATAACATTTAGCTCGATTGATTTCCACCATTTTTCAGACTTCCGGAGGGTTCTGTGATGATTATGTTATTCGTCTGTAAAGCCTGTAAGCGATGTAAGGCTAAGCACTTGAGCAATTCACAGTGTTTACCATTAGTCTCATTACTAAATGACAACCTTCTTGAAAACATTAAAATACCGCCTTGCAAATGGTAAAATTCATAGTACACAGTTTGTTTCTTAGTCACTTCTCATGTTTAATATGACTATTTTTGGATTAAACCATCATTCAGGGGATAAATTCGAGAGTCGAGTGAAATATTGCAGCACTGTCGTTAACTTCCTTTTAATGCATACTACTTTCTGTTTGTTGTTGTTTAGAAATGAAGACCGCAACTTTCGTTTGCTATGAAGATCGGAGCTTCATAAGCGAGTTTTAGAACTATATGTTACGATTTCAGCCACCTTACATTAAGGTAATTTGCTTGGTTGTAGCTAGCAACGGATTCCAGGACTCACTTTTCGTTCTATTTGGGACTCATCAGCTGGGTGCAACTGCACCCTAGTGAGTGATGTTGTCCCCATTGAGGCTCGGACCTGGTACCCATCGCTTCAAACGCCAAGGCGTTATCGACTGTGCCACTGGGAATCACAAGTATATCGATAAATAGTAATAAACTAAATTAAATTGTAAATTGCATACGACTACGTAACTGATAAATTAATGCCCTAATAAGCAATTAATTTCAACAGGATATCTTTCAGTTACTCACCACCTATTATCATATTAATGGCCTTCTGTAGTCTTATAACACAGGTATTGAAAAACTAGCATGATAAAATATAGGCATTGTTACTAGGTGGTAATTGAAGGTGAAATGAAAATTTGAACGGCGGCCGGATTCGAACCAGCGACCACCGGGTTTCCTCGCCTATGCTCTACCAACTGAGCTACGGAGTCCGACTGTTGATCAGATTTCAGTCTCACTCAGTATGAATACTAGTTCGCCAAACCGCGACCATCTCTCTCTAATTCAGTTAGATTTGGATTGGGATGAGAAGTCCTGACTAGGCACCCGTGTGAATAGAAACAAGAGGTACTAACGTGTCACGAATTCACATGATAGTCGGACAAAATCTTTGGTGATTGAAGTGAAATAACACGGTGGTCACTGGTTCGAACCCGGCTGTGGTCTAAACTTTCATTTCACCTGCAATCATCACCTAGTATAATTACAGGTCTTCCAAACCACGGCTATATCAGAAAGTCAAAAAATGATGAAGATATTGTTTTTGTTCATGAATTAGCCACTTATTTGACTTAATTTAATCAAGCTTTTTATAATATCACAGGCTGATAAATAAGTAAGTCTATCCTTCGTCAGCGTAAAATCTTACCTGGAGAATGTATGATTTTTATTCGTGTATAAAGAAAAAAAATTATTTCAAGTTGTTATTCATGGAAGACTGACATCAGTTGGAGGAACAAAGGAAACCTGGGAGCACTGGACAGCTGTTTCGTCCTTATTATATTATCTTTTTCTTAACTGAGCTGAAAATGAAATGTTGTTAATGGAAGTTTTTTAGATCAGGAGATCGCTACAGTGAATTAAGTTTCACTTAAGGTGCTCTCGTGAATATAATCGTTAACATTTAGCAAACCGCTTAAAGGTAATATGAACAGTAAGTAGGTGAGTAAGCTATCTGCTCAATGTAAACAACTATCTGAGTTATTAAAGTATATTCCAACATTTCTATTTATCATGTGTTATTTTGTTAACTTTATAAAAGCGAAAGTATTTAGAACAGCATATTGAAAATGATTGTTTTAACCGCATCAGAAAGTGCCAATATTGTGGAACAAAGATTATATTTGCTAATGAAGCTAAACATTTTAGTATTTGTTCAGAATTTCCAATTCCTTGTCCAAATAAATGTGAAAATACTACTATACCAAGAGGATTTTTAACAGCCCATTTAAAAAATGATTGTTCTAAACAAAATTTACATTGCCCATTCAGTGTTCATGGTTGTCAATTTCGTGGTCGTAAGAATAAAATTGATCCACATTTACAACAATCAATTGTGATACATTTAAATCTTCTCAATACATCTGTTGAACAAATGTCATTATTAATCGAAGCACAAGTAAGTTGATATATATTAAAACGAATTTGTTAAAAATTTTTACGATGAAATGAAGTGATTTTTGATGTGGGCATTTTCTCTTTCCCCATTGTCTTTGTGTTATAAATCAAATAAACGAATATAATATGGTACTCAGTTTCAAGGCTCATGGGGATTAATTGACTTCACATAGGTATTCATCACGAACTAACATCACCTGAACAACCATTCAAAATCAGACAAAACTACATACCTATTGCATTCTAGTATGAAACTCTTCACTAGTGTGAACCCACAATCACACCAGGGAATCTGATTGTCCTGGGTTCGATCCCTGTTAGTATTATGGATACAAACTGCTTGAGGAGTCCCATGATGATACAAAACAGTAGTCGATTTCTTCGTGGTTGTCAGTGGTTCTCCAACTAATGTCGTTGCATGATTAATACAAACTTGAAGTCTACAACAGTTGTAAACTTATACAAACTGATGACATGCAACAGCATGCTTGTATCTCACTCAGTGTCTGCAATACGAGTATAAAGTTATCTTGAGAGCACTCCTTTTAATGTGGAATTCTAGGGATGAAATGAAGGCATTCATCTCTTTGGTATGGATAATTTATATTTGCCAGAAAGAATCAGTATTTGCAGAAGTTATTTCATAACGTCGTGGGAGATCGATGTAGACTGTTGGAGTTGAAAATCTGCATCTTGTTCCACATGCTGAGTGCAGAAGATATCCACACTGGTTTCAGGCTAATGAACGCCTATCTTGCATTTCCGATCCTGCCTTCGATGTTCTCGTCTCTACCGTCACCTGTAGTTGAAGCAGTGCTGCCTAGATAGTTGAAAGAGACTACCTCCTTTAAGTTTCTTCTATTGATGGTGATTCGAGCTCCTTGTTGTTGTTGTTGTTGGTGGTGGTGGTGCGGTATCTTCATCACCTCTGTCCTCTCTACGTTCACTTGAAGTCTCGTCTTCGCTGCACTACCTCGCCTCTTCTGTCAACTTGTTAGTCTTCACCTCTACATCTTCAAGTGTGTGTGACATCAAACACTAATCATCATCGGCGAAGTCCAAATCTACTTTCGGGGTCTTTTCATCGGTCCAACTAGCGTATCCCACTCTCCTCGCTCCTCACACTTTGTTGCATGATCCAGTCAACCACAATCAGGAAGATCATGGATGATAGTGGGCAGCCTTGTCAAACTCCTTCCTGTCTTCACTTCGCTGCAAACGCATCACTGAGCTGAGCTTCCCATTGTGAATTACTTGGCATGTGGTGTCTTCATATAGTTGTTGAATGAGGTTGATAAAGGTTTGCGGTATTCCATAGTGTTGAAGCATCAGCTGCCAGAATACTTGTGAGTCGACGCTGTCGAAGGCCTTTTCAAAGTGGATGAAGTTGAGGTAGAGTTGAGTTGACTGCCATTCTATACTCTGTTCTATGATGATGCGTAGCGCAGTGTTGCAAATTGATCTACACACGATTTGTTCTTCGTGAATCCAGCCTTTTCCGGTTATAATTTTGAACCCAGCGCATCGTTTAGTCTCTCCAGGATGATGTGACTCAGTATTTTGCTTGATTTGGTTGACAGAAGCATGATTCCTTATCAGTTCTTGCAAACACTTAGGTCTTTCTTCTTCGAGAGTTTGACAAGTTAACCCTTCTTCCAATCAATTAGCAGGTACATTTACTTCCTTCCACACCTTCTGCAATAGTGGTGTGGTGTGAGCATGTTCGCTGTTGTCTCTGCGTCTGTTCTCAGTGTTTCTGGTGGTATTCCATTTGGTCCTGCTGCTTTCCCACACTTCAGTAGCTTTATGGAGCTCAGGGCTTCTACTTTTGTTGGGGGATTTGTGTTCACTGATAGTTCTGTGGCTGCAGGTTATATTTGTGGACGAAGTGCAGCTGGTGGTTGTGGTGGTCGATTCAAGAGTATTTTGAAGTGGTCAGCCAATCGTTTCCTTTCTTTCTCTTCTTTCGTAAGTAGATTTCCGTCATCATCTTTTACTGGTTTCATGTGTGTTGATCTCTTCCCTCCCAGATAGTAACCTGGTTATTTGATATGATGTTGTCACGTCTCTGTCTCTCCTACCAGCTGCCTGTTCTGCTTCACTTGCCACTGTGTCATAGAAGTGTCTTTTGTCTTTCCGTGCACTCCTCTTCACTTCCTTGTCCACTCTTTTATACATTGTACTCACTTCGTCTTCTCCTCGTTCATCCTTGCACTGTACTGATTCATCTTCTGATTCACCTTCCTCCTTCCCTTCCTCTATCAGCTTCCATGTGTCTGTCGAGATCCATTCCTTGTCTTGTTTCCTCTTCCTTCCTAAAATGGTTATGCAGGTTTCCTTCGACATCTCTTTCAAAGACTTCCAGTGTTCATTTAGACGGGTTTCTTCAGAGATGTTGCTCGATATCTCCCATTTTGTCTTGATGGCTGAAGTGAAGATTTTCTTTGTAGTTTCGTTTTTCAGTTCAGTTTCTGTTCTGGGTGTTGAACTTGAACTGTAGTCTATCACCAACTTCTCTGAAGGTTTTCAACTGGATTTTGAAGGTTTCTTGCACTAGATAGTGGTGTAAACCTACATTTGTTCCCCTTCTTGATCTTGTCTCCAGTAAGCTGCATCTCCACTTTTTCACATTCAGATGAAGTCGATCTGATTTTTAGTGTCGTGTATCCTGTTGTCCGGTGAAGTCCATGTTGCTTTGTGAATATTTTTGTGTTTGTACATACTGCCTCCAATCACCAAATTGTTGAATGCGCAGAATTCTGCAAACAGATCTCCTTTCTCATTCATTTCACTGATTGCTTATCGACGCATGATGAGTTCTCTTCCTGTGTTGTCCGCTCCGAGTTTGACATTCATGTCACCCATTAGAATTTTGAAGTCACTAACTGGAGTCTTGTCCAGTACTGACCACAGCTGTTTGTAGAATTCCTCCTTCTTCTCTTGATGTGCATTATTTGTAGGTGCATAGCATTGAATGATTGTGACTTTCTTTCCTTTTGAGTTGAATCTTGCTGTAATGATCCTGATTGTGGAGGAGATTGGTTCTCACTGCATGAGACCCTTTGATCCTCTTGAGGACATCATGATAGCCACTCCATAACTCAATGTGCTCGTGGTTGTCGTCTGAGTAGATTATTGATTTCTCTGCAGTTGACAGTTTGAAGAGTCCACTTCTATTCCACCTACTTTCGCAGATTTCAAGCACTTCCATGCCATATCTCCTCATCTCTTTTGCAATCTGGGCAGCCTTGGTGGGTTCGAACACTATGCGGACATCCTATGTTTCCTTGTTTACCTTCGCTTTCATCGAGAGAAGACACATCGGCTGACTGGCTTGCTGAATGCTTTCACCAACCAACGTCATTTCGTCTCTCCGATTCCAGCAAGAAATAAGTTTGTTTTTTGTTTTATATTTTCTTTTTCCTTTGAAGTTTCTTTAGCGATTGGATTAGTTTTATGGGGTAAGGTTGCTAACCCTATGCCCAACCTTCCCTCTTTACTCGGGCTTAGGACCAGCTAGTAACTAGTGAACTAGTTAACCAGGCTAGGTTATATATATATATATATATATATATATATATATATCATACTAAATCATCTTCTACACTGCTGATTCATCAGTGATGTGAGTTTTATGATTGAAACTGATCAGGGATAATAATTGCTAATTTATGAAGAGTAATGGAATTAAAATCCAAAAAGATTATTTACTAACATAATAATGTTATATAAATAAAATTATTTATATACGAAAGTTGTATTGAGAGATAACTTGACTATATAGCAAGGATAAGTGCAGAGAGTATCAGCCATTTTATACCACTGACTACCTGACTAGATTTTGTATTCTACCTTAAGAAATAAAGTATAACTGTGTACAGGTGACTGAGGAAAATTTCAGCATGTATTTCACTAACCTATCAATAGATACTGCATGTAAGCTTTGCATATTTAGTGTGTGACAACAGTTCATCAGGGAAAAAGAAGATGAAAATCTTGAGTTAATAAAGGTAAAACACCACCAAAAACAAAGTTTAGAAAGCGTAAAATCCTTGTATCTGTGATTCATTCCTCCAAACCAGGTAATACTGGATAAGATGGAAGTGAATGGTTTTTTAAGACAGATTCAGTTTGCAAACTGGTTATTATCTATGGGTAGATGGTGATATAACTAGGAAGAAAACCTAACAGTCACAGGATAAATAAGCCTTCAAATTATCACTACAAGTTTACAACTAATGATTTATAGAATGTATTTGTTAATGAGGTCTATAGTTCACTCCAGTTAACGAGTGTTTTTACATAAACTCTGGCATGTATTGAAGTTACGTAGCCAATTGTGTATTATGCCAATCGACAACTAGTCATATTTTATTGCGCAAACACAAGTAGAGCTATTCTAGGAAGGGAAGTGATTATCTGATTACCCATTGGACCATCTGATATAGCCATTGTTGGTCAACTGGTCACTGTATGCAAATGCACCATTCACTTAAGTTCTCACATTTGTATAGACAACTAGAAGTTTGCTTGGAAAGCTATTAACAATGTGATAAGAATTGTTTCGTGGTTTTGGAATGCTATTCGTCAAAATGTATTCAGAAACATAGATAGCCAACACGCTCAAATACTTCCACTTCAGGAAGATCTCCTATGGAACTGACCTGCTTCGTGCTGGTTAGGCATCCTTAGTTATGGCTTGGTTTGCACTTACACTCTATCATGATTATAATACACTTCTTAGCCTCATTAATTTTGTTTGTTTCAGACAAAGTCGTATGCAGAAATTCGCAATTTTCTAGAGTTACAAACGAAGCGTATAGCATCATTAGAACATGGTTTGGGTGCATCCTTTCTGTGGAAAATAGATTCATATGCTGAAAAACTAAATAATGCTAAGTCCGGTAAACAGAATGCTTTATTCAGTCCACCATTCTATACTCATCGATATGGTTATCGAATGGCTTTATCTGTTTCACTGTATGGAAATGGAGATGCACGTGGAAAATACATGTCAGTGTATGCCTGTCTTTTTCGCGGAGAACATGATTCACTTTTACAGTGGCCATTCTCACATCAGGTAAGACATTTACAAACTATAAATTTCAAGGCAGAAATCAGTTTTTACAGTCGCTATTGGTAGTGGATTAATAATCATCGAGATAACTGAAGCTTTATATCCTTTAGAGATTAGCCATACACAAACGATGAGTAGTTTATCAATTCACTTGGAATACAAAACCAGAATATGTTGAATCTACATAGTACAATAGAGTATATTAAATAGGCCATAGATAAGTGTGGTAATAATTCCCTTTACACTGGTAGAATTTATAGTTCAGTGAATAAACATAGGCTTTGATGAAGAATAAACTCCCAATGCATCACCGTTTATAATATATTCATAAAGATTGGGTCAGTTGAAGATGGTCTTTATCAACTGACGAGTTCATCTGTTCAACAAGGTTAATTTGAACAAGAAGTAAATATTTGGGAAACAACCTTCTTTACGGAAGTGTTTGTTTTGTATATCCCTTATTGTTCTGTATGATTACTGTATTATCTACAGATAGTGAACTAGAAGCATTTTTCAAGTTGGCATTAGTCATGGAATGACATCAGTTGGAGAACCACTGACAACCACGAAGAAATCGACTACTGTTTTGTCTCATCATGGGACTCCTCAAGCAGTTTGTATCCATAATACTAACAGGGATCGAACCTAGGACAATCAGATTCCCTGGTGTGATTGTGGGTTCACACTAGTGAAGAGTTTCATACTAGAATGCAATAGGTATGTAGTTTTGTCTGATTTTGAATGGTTGTTCAGGTGATGTTAGTTCGTGATGAATACCTATGTGAAGTCAATTAATCCCCATGAGCCTTGAAACTGAGTACCATATTATATTCGTTTATTTGATTTATAACACAAAGACAATGGGGAAAGAGAAGTTGACAGAGCAGTGAAGTCAGTAGGTTCTCTCAAAAACTTGTAGTAGAAAATGGATGTTACTATTTAAATGACGAAAAATCCTCATTCGGTCATTGTCAAACAAAAAGAGGTTATAATCAAGATAGTTACATTTTCTACGACTCACTTTCACAGATGTACAATCGTAAGTATGTAAGCAAAATGATGGAATACTGTACACAAGTTCCCGTTCAAAGATCAAATCTAATAGACAGATGTATAGAGTGTGTGAAATGATATTACATAACAAAGGAAATGGTTTCAATAATTGTTATAAAATGCATTGAACAGTAGGATTTTGAATAAACTCAATCTTATTCAGGTCTCGTAATGCTTCAAAAGGGTATCCGATCTTGTCCCTTACTGAAATAACACAGTGAAGACAATATTAAGATTTTGAGTTGTACTCAATTATGTATGTATATATGCACGTATGTATGTATGTATGTATGTATGTATGTATGTATGTATGTATGTATGCATGTATGCATGTATGTATGTATGTATGTATGTATGTATGTATGTATGTATGTATGTTGAAAAAAAGAACAAACTGCAAAATGGATCAACAATAAGTTATGGGCGATATTAGATTTAATTTATAGTTAGCTTTTAGCTTCTATGACCCATTAAAATGACAGAATCAAGATGATAGAGAATACTAGACACTGAATATGGAGGTTTTACCACTGATTTACTATGCTATTATTCATTCCGGAAGACTGACTATAACTGACTGCTGTCAGAGTTAACAGATTATATAATAAATGTGAAGAATACAGTTATCAAAGTCTCTTATAAGGAAATCGAGAACGCAGTTGAATACTTCTTGATGTCTAATGTGTGTATAATTCTGACAAACAGTAGGCTATTACAGTAAATCTTCTTTCATTCATCATTCTGTTCTATTAAGCACATCCATTGCTTATTTCTTCGTGTAGAAGTAAATCACAAATTCTATAATAGTATAATTGTTTTTATATAATACCGTCGTTGATTGGATCGAATTGATCGGTCTCTATTGGCATATGGGCTCCTGTGCGTATGCCTCGATATTACCAGTGTTCTAATTATGTCAGTGATGGGCAGTGGCTAGCAGTGGAATCCAGAATGGGCATTTCGTCCGATTTGGAACTCGTCAGCTGGATGTACCTGCCTACTCCCAGTGAGTGATGTTGTTCCCACCGGATTCAGACTCCGGAGCGACCGCTTCAAACGCCAGTGCGTTATCCACTACACCACCGAGCCACGATAGCCACTTTTTGTGTGACGGGTATAGCTTTTAGTAGAATTGTTTTTATATGATACCGTTTATCATTAACATAAATAAAACGCTGACAATACAAATTATAAACTAATTATATTTACTACTTATTATTGTTTTATTACTTAATTTATCATTTATTAGTTAACATTTACGCTAATCGACCAAAATCCAGAAGTCAATGCACGAAAACCAGTAAATTATACAATGAAACCTAATTTAATTGGTGATTACAACCAATTTTTCGATAAACCAATTACTGATCGTAATTCATGTTTCGGTGCACCACGTTTTGTCAAATTAGAGGTTATGGAAACTGCAAATTATGCAATGAACGATGAAATTTATCTGAAGGTTACAATGAATTTAGATCACGTGTTACCAATCTAGTGTTGTGACCTTATAAAATCAACATTTTTCGATTAAAATATTCAATTAATGATTGAAAATTCAATGTTATTTGCTATATTTTAACAGTATAACGTTTATAATAATATAATGAAATGTAACAAGACTTTTCAGATGTTTTAAACATCTCCCCAAAAAATTGAGTAGAATATTTTTTGATATTTTTTCATCAGATTAAATATGTAGCAATTTAATGTTTATTAATGATGGGTAGTATCTAAGAGTGGAATCCAGGACGCGCATTTCGTCCCATTTGTGGCTCGTCAGCTGTGAGGCAGGTATATCCAGCTGACGAGTCCCAAATAGGACGAAACACACATCATGGATCCCACTGCTAGCTACTATTCATCATTACTATACAGAATTAAAACACAGGCAATATCGAGGCATTCTCACAGGAGCCTATATGCCAACGGAGACCGATCAATTCGGTCCAATCAACGACGGTGTAATACAAGCAATAACATTGAATTTAATGTTTAGTTAACAGAATTTAATGTTTAAGGTGATTTCAATGAGGCAGTGATAATTTTGTATTAACACCACAGAAATCGACTTACATGTTACTGTGTTCACTGAAACAGAAAGTATAAAGAAGAAAGGGAATGTTTGTATAAGTTGACTTTTCAATATGTCAGCTGACATGTGTTCATCAGTTTGTTCTATCTGGAAAATACAAAGTAAACTTGACCATTTTGTAGGATTGTAGTGTTTTAATAACCAGAAGGAAAGGACTTTTAGTAAAGTTAAAAGTAAACTACCCACCATTTCCTCTACCTAACTTTTAGTCCTGACAATGTGATCATTTTCATCGTTGTTTAATTGATCAATAAACAGCCAAAACATTCTCAAGTACATTAGAACGTGCTAAAGTCTGAAATAAAGGTTCAGTATATCTCTAATATAATAAGCTTAATGTTTACACCGCATACTTTTGTCTATCGTAATCAAAAAAGATTTGAAGCATATTTCTCAAAATATGAAAGTTTTAGGAAATATACCGTCACATAATTAAGTTATTTCTATACCTTAAACGTATTCTTTTTATAAGTTATTCTCAGTTTTCGAGATCAATACTTCCTTAAACCAGCATCAATTGAAGAAATATTGAAAACCTGGGGGCTCTGGACATCTGTTTCATCCTAGCATAGGACTTCTCTACAGAGTGCATCCATGAACTCACCCATCAGGGATCGAACAAGGGACCTTCAGGTTCCGCAACCAGCATGTTACCATTGAGCCACTCGGTCGGAATCCAATGAATTGTGTAGACAAAGCGAAAAGCAAATGCTTAGCCGAAGCACTAGCTATATATGAAAGAAAACTCAAACTTTTCTTTCGGAAATCCTTACTCCACATTGAACCAAGTAATACTATTTCAAGTTGATTTTATTCCACTGGTAGTTTTATTACCATTGTTGTCAACATTTCAGACTTTTTGACAGGACTTGGCACATGGTCATTGTGTGATATAACCCATTATTTGACTTAATTTCTTCACCAACTTCCCATCTATCTTCACCACGTGCATATAATGTGTGATCAACTCCCTCCCTGCACATGTATACAATATCTCCACTTCTTCTGTCATACTGATGTTACGATTTCAATACAGTAAATATGTCATCATATTACCACCACATCTTAAGTGCAGGATTGAACGTTTGTATAGATTTCATCATTTATACACAGTTTTCTCAAAGATCCACTTACATTATGCATCATTTAGATATGGTAAACGTCTACACCAACACTGTTCATTTACATACAGAGAAATAATAATATCATGAAATTGTTTTCACTGTAGGAACATTAACTATCTGAATAAGCAACTGAAAAATCTACTTGTAAATTTTATTATTGTATCAGTTGTTCTAAAATCTTTAGCACAAGTTTCATAAGCACATAGGCACAATTAAGAAATAAAAAAAATTCTCTCTAATTTCTTTTACTATGGATTCTATAATTTGTTATTTTGTAGAAATTGTATCCATTAGATATTCTTCTCAGATATTTTAAAGACTATGCAAAAAGAAACATGATAGGTAGTTAGCTTAAACAGTACATTCTTCTTCAAACCAACAATGAAAAATGTCTACTTCACATTATTATTTCATCTTACTGAATTGCAAAGTGAATGAAAGTGATATATAACATAAAATACGTTGCACTGCAATGATGCATCATATATCTTAGTGACCATATTAAAACACTGACTAACATACTTCTATCAGCAATTGAAAATAGTCACTTTTATTCATTCATCACAAGAGAATTATTTTGTGAAATTAGACTGTATCATAACCATATACGAACCTTTCAATGAAGAATATGAATAAAGAAGCATGTCACATAACATAATACTGTTGATAGGTGAATTCATATCCTTTCATCTTACTAGTGATGGCATTGGAGTAAACCTGATTGAATTCTAAAAATTTCTATTATGTAAACAAGACTACTTGTGATTAGAACACTATTGTGGTAAAATTAGCTTCTTGCCAAGTAGACTGCGATTTTATCAACAGTTAACATTCATAGTGAAGAGAAGTAAGTAAGCCCATTGAAATGGATATAAAGTTAAAATTATACTATCAAAGATAAGTTTCGATAAAGTTATTAGAAGACGAAGATTATCTCCAAAATATGATATATTTGGGCAATACAATCTGATCACGCACTTACTTGTCAATTCAATTTATATATGAAAATTAAAAAATTATAAGTCATATATGATGAATATGAAAAAGGTTATGACGCTATTCTTTATGATGTAATCAGTTCCTCAGTATCATAGTAATGATTTTGCCATCGATGTCCATTTTGATCATCTATGTGATCAGTTAAGTTTGCTAGTACTTACCTCTTTTAATAACCACAGTTGGTTGAAGGCTAAGCTAGCTGATATCGCTCATCAATTCCATAATCCAGTTCCAAAACAGAGACGCATTTCTACTACCCAAAACTTTAAATCCCTGAAAAAACTTACAGAATAATCCCAATGTGGTAATTCTTAAGTCTGATAGAGGATCAGGTGCTGTGCTGATGAATAAAATGTAGTACAAAAACAATATGTTGTCCATTCTTCTTAATGGAAGTAAAGTAAAGTAACCCTAGATGTTGGAATTATTTCATTTCGTATACGCTATGACTTACACAAATACAAAGCCAAAGGTGTGAGTGTTAAATTAGTTACAGTCAATTCAAATTCAACTTGATAATATTTCGTGTATCGAAACCGATTCATGAGCTATTCTGTTAAGTGGAAAGCATAGATTGCCTGAAAGTGTTTATACTAATACAATGACGTATATTATCTGCCTATATCTTTCATTTTCAACCAGAAATCAATATAAATTATATACTACCTGTTAGCAGATGAAAGGTGTCTCTAAGCAACTGCATCATACTTGAATGATGATTTGAACAAAAATATGTTAACAGTTGGACGTCGCCTGATGTTTTCGAAGGTAAATCTGAGATTGATATCAAAATGTACATTCATGAAATTAACTATAAGTTGATTAAACTGACGTAGAAAACTTTTAAATTCGTTTTTCAAACAGAACAAAAGCAGTCTTAATAGAAACTCTGTAACTATCTCAACTAATAGTAAAGCTACATTGAACCACTTCTTAACTGTTCGTTAGATAAGGTGGCGGTTGCTGCCGATGTTTATTTTTCCTAATAACCATGGCATATTTGAATAGTTCCACACTATGTTTCATATAAACGTCACTCAACCTATAACTAACAGTTTCCTCAATATGTAGTACATGAAATCTTTTGTTCAATCTCCCCGAATTTCACTTAGCATTTGATTAAATTGGTAAAGAAACTGGAAATGGACTTAGTGGTGGCTAGTAGTGGGGCACAAGACTCACTTTTCCTCCTACCTACGACTCTACTTCTAGATCTACCTCCACTTCAGTAAATGATGATATTCCCAGTGAGACTCCAGTCCACAACGCATTACTTCAAACTCCAAAGCGTCATCCACCAGGCCACTGAAGCATAGATGTAGGTACATCCACTTGACACATCCCAAATAGGACAGAACATGCATTTCGGATTCCATTGCTAGGCAGCACGAATTAAATTATAACTTATAGTGAAGAGGCTTCCGCATAGAAGCCCGTATGCTAAAAGAGTTGAATCGATTCCATTCAGCACAATAATGGGAATTCCCAAATATTAATAACTGAAATAAGCACTTTTGTAAACGCAGTTTGAAGAAAATTTATACGAAGCAAGTAACAAATTAGTCAGTCTATCTCTGTAAACGTTGTGGAGCCCAACCTAAGACAAGTCCAAAGTTACATTATATGTACACTGATTGCAGTATGACACGTTTAAAATGTTATGCTCAGGTTTCATTTTTTCAAAGCGTTTTTTGCACCTAATACGTGAATACAATTCTTATTCATGGAAAAATCCTTCTCCTACAAAATTTATTTTGTGTATAAGTTTTGTTTTTAAAGAGAGAAGATTCAATAAGAATTATGAACCACTGAAAACCGACCAAGTGGCTGAATGGTTAATGCGTTCTCCATGAAATCTGAAGGTCCTGAGTTCCATGCGTAGCCGGGTCATGGGTGCGTACTGCTGAGGTGTCCCATACTACGACGAAACAGCTGTCCAGTGCTCCCACATTTTCAATGGTTTCCCAACTGATGTCAGTCCATGATGAATACTACCTCTAAAAATTGAAAAACTTGTCATAACCATCAGTTCCTACTAGCAGATTCCATGAAATCTACACACAGAACTTCATACTCATTATCAGAGATTACACTGGTATTGTGCGTATTAAATATGGAAAAAATGAAAATGATAAGGAATTCTGTATTCGTTTCACCAACACAACATATTTTCTTAACAATCTACAAGACATTTAGATGTAAATACTATTTTGACCTATATACTCAGTAGAATATAAAATTCATGCACGCTACACAAAACGACCGCCAAACAATACTGTA